GGGCGCGGTCGTCATCCCGAGTCGTTTCTTGAAGGCCCAGGGGCCCAGCGAAGGCCCCCAGGGGCCGAGAACGGAGAGCAGCCTCCGCCTCGATGTGTGCACTTCGTTGGAGGTCTGGGTTGTCGCGCTGCCTGAGCCGAGGCAATGCCTGCCGCGGAAGAAGGGCCAGACAGGCCCGCGCCGCCCTAAGGGCGCGCGCGCGCGTCTGGCCGCGCCGCGCCGCGGGCACCATCGCGGCCCCGCCGTGCGCCCTGACCGGGCGCACCGCTGCCCACGCCGCGCGTCGGCACCGCGGCGCAGACAGGAAAACATCTACTCACGCTGGTTGGTCCTCCCCCCCCTCCCCCCCTTCTCCTCTCCCTCCCCCCCTCCCTCCTCCTCCTCCTCCTCCTCTCCTCCTCCTCCTCCTCCTCCTCCACCTCATTCTCCTCCTCCTCCATCTTCCTCCTCCTCCTCCTCCCTCCTCCTCCTCTCCTCCTCCTCCTCCTCGCTCCTCGATCCTCCTCCTCGCTCCTCGCGCCTTCTCGCACCTCCCCCTCCTCCCTCCTCCTCCCTCCTCCTCCTCCCCTCTCCCCCCTCCCTCCTCCTCCTCTCCTCCACCTGCTCCTCCTTCTCCCTCCTCCTTTTCTTCACACTCCTCCTCTTTCTCCTCCTCCTCCTCCCCTCCTTCTCTCCTCCTCCTCCTCCTCCTCCGCCTCCTCCTCCTCCTCCTCCTCCTCCTCCTCCACCTCCTCCTCCTCCTCCTCCCTCACTTCTTCTCCTCCTCCTCCTCCTCCTCCTCTCCTCCTCCTCCTCCTCCTCCTCGTCCTCCTCCTCGCTCCTCGCTCCTCGCCTCGCGCCTCTCCTCCTCCTCCTCCTCCTCCTCCTCCTCCTCCTCCTCCTCCTCCTCTCCTCCTCCTCCTCGCTCCTCGCTCCTCGCGCCTCCTCCTCCTTCTCCTCCTCCTCCTCCTCCTCCTCCTCCTCCTCCTCCTCCTCCTCGTCGTCCTCCTCGCGCCTCGCGCCTCCTCTACAGTGGCAGGCGCGCGGAGGGAGCAGCAGCAGAAACGCATCTGCCGTCGGAGAGCCAGCCGCCCAGACCCGCCCCTCGGGTCGCGCACAACACCGCGGCGGACGGTCTGCTGCGCTCTCGGGCCTCTTTGGGCCCTGACGTCTGCAGTGGGGGCTCATGCCAAGAAACACCCTGCTTGCCTCCAGGGTGCCCAGGGCTTCTTGGGTTTCGATGGCTTTGCCATGGAGAGCGTGGCGTTCCCACACCAAAGATCGATGGACGTCCTGGGGTCTCAGGGTTGGGTTTCTTGTGGAAGGTTTCTTGTGGCCGGGCCCCCACGGTAGGCCTCCTAGATGGGGTCGGAGTAGACGGGGTCGGAGGATCGATCGTTCCGCATCGCCGATGCATCGGCGATGCATCGCCGATGGCGGCTCGATATGGTGCCCACATTTCTCCACGCCCACGTCGCCGATGCATCGCCGACGTCGCCGGTGCATCGGCGATGCATCGCCGATGTATCGGCGATGTGGCGAGATCCTTCGACTCCATCTATATCGACCTCACCTAGGAGGCCTCCACTCACAGGGCTGGGGGGTCATCGAGAAACGATTCGGGATGAGAAGCTGGTCCAGAGGAATGGTCGGCTACTCATAAGAGTGACCTTTCGCCAGAGGGACCTTTGGTACGGGCACATGTGAGGTCCCCAGATGGCCGAACGCGGTACGATAGCAGCGCCTTGCGCGCTCGGGTTTGCCCCCCCCGCGGCCCCCAGAAATCGCGAACCAGAGGTCACTCTTGCCCAAGGTCACTCTTGCGTGTAGCCGACGGGGGGTCTTCTAAGAGCCCCTCGAAGTTCGAACATGATGTAAAGCTATACAGTGGAGACCCATGCCAAGAAGAACCCTTCTTGCCTGCAGGGTGCCCTGTTGGAGCCCCTCGGGCCTTCTGGGCATCGTGAGGGGTGCTCTGGAGGCCTTGGTGGCCCCTTTGGGAAATTCTGTGGGCGTCTTGGGCCAGCGACACTTCTAGCAACACCCGAATCCTGCGCGTTCCCTCCTCTCGCCCGCGTGGGTCGTCGTAATGATGTCCCCGCGTCGTCCTCCTCCTCCTCTTCCTCCTCCTCCTCCACTTCCTCCCGCTCCTCCTCCTCCTGCTCCTCCTGCTCCTCCTCCTGCTCCTCCAGCTCCTCCTGCTCCTCCTCCTCCTCCTCCTCCTCCTCCTCCTCCTCCTCCTCCTCCTCCTCCTCCTCCTCCTCCTCTCCTCCTCCTCCTCCTCCTCCCCCTCGCCTGCTCTCGTCCACCCTCCTCCTCGTCAATCTTGCTCGTTCCTTCCCCCTCGCCCCGGCGGCCCCCCACGGGCCTCCCCTGAGGTCGCCCTTTCCCGTGGGCGCCCCCCCGCGGAGGCCTCTCTGCAAGGCCATTCCAAGGCCCAGCAGGACCACGGGCCGGGGACGCCCAGAGGCATCGATCCTCTTCGTCGTCCTCCTCCTCCTCCTCCGTGTCCTCCTCCTCCTCCTTCCCCCTTTTCCTTCTCTTCCTCCTTCCCCCTTTTATCCTTTTCTTCCTCCTCCTCCTCCTCAACCTCCTCCTCCTCGTCATCAACCTCCTCCTCCTCCTCCTCCTCCTCCTCCTCCTCCTCCTCCTCCTCAACCTCCTCCTCCTCCTCGACGCACAGAGGTGACAGATGCCCGACTGCGAGGGCCCACGCCGACGGCAGGCCTGCCCCTGGTCTCACCACAGTGGGCACCGGCGTCCCGCCTCGCCCTGCCCGGAGGCTCTCCCCAGAGAGTGGCTCTCTTCTCCCCCCGGGTGTGTTCTCTGCTGCTCGAGCCTTTGCCAGCCCAGGAGTGCTCGTTCGCCCCAGGCCAGTGACCAGTCCTCCTCCTCCTCCTCCTCCTCCTCCTCCTCCTCCTCCTCCTTCTCCTACGCCTCCACCTCCACCCACCTCCTCCTCCTCCCTCCCTCCCTCCCTCTCTCACTCGTGGCGCGCGGACGTGGGCCCGATTCTCTGTTGCTTCCAGGGGCCGCCGACGACGAAACACGATTGACCTCTGTGTGTACGGTGTGGTGTGGTGTGGTGTGGTGTTGTGTGGGCGTGAGTGTGTGTGTGTGGGTGTGTGTGTGTGTGTGTGGGTGAGTGTGTGTGTGTGTGTGTACGTGTGTGCGTGTGTACCCGTGTACGTGTGTACGTGTGTACGTTTGTACATGTGTACGTTTGTACGTGTGCACGCGCGCGCGCCCTCGTGTGTGTGAGTGTGTGTTTGTGTTCCCGGCTCCTGCCGGGCTGGGCCGGCTCGGGCCTTAGGCAGTCCCCCCACCCCCACTGCTTGCTGAGAGCGGGCATCTCTGGATCTGGGCGCTCTCCCATCCCAGGAGTCGAACGTTCCCCCCTTCTCCGTCCTCTCTCGTGAGGCCGGCGGAATAGCTTCGATGGGCCGATACTGTCTATCCCCAGGTAGGGGAGTGGGCTGGCTCTCACGACGCCGTCCCGCTTCGTGCTTCCACCCTTTGCTTCTCGGGAAGGAGAAAAACTGCACTTGCGCAATTGATCGGCGATTCCCCCGAAGATCTGGGAACATGTGGGAAGCGAAGGGGGGGGATAGGACATTCCCGAGGAAATGCGAACATGAGGAGAGTCCTGGGATCCTGTGTCTGCTTCGCGGTGTGCGTGTCCCCGAGCCCCCTCAATTGTCCTTTGGGCGAGGGGTGTCGCCCCCCGATATCACGATTTTTTCATGACGCGACCCCCAGAGGTCGGGACCCATTCCCTGGGACCGGTTTTCCATCCCGAGTCGTTTTCTCGACGGCCCCGAGGCCCGGTGAGGGCCCCCAGAGGCCGAAAGTAACGACAAATTTGCCGTCGTGATGTCTTCCTGACTCGAGGGGGTCTGGGGGCGTCGTCCCCCCCCCCTGTGAGTAAATGAGTTAGTTCATGCTGTGTACATTCTTATATGATCTTGAAATCCCAGAAAGAGTTTCGGTGATGTGTTTATCCGTAGGCACCCTCTTGGCCCGAGGTAACTATTTGTGTCTTTCTGGACACCGTGTTTTTTACAAGCGGCCAGAGAGCACAGTAGGAACATATTATGACACGACAGCTGGAGCAGACCAGGAGGATGCTCCAGAAGTACCTGGACAAGGACAAGACGGCGAAGAACAACGCGAGCAGAGAACGAGAGGGCGCTGACCAGACGGCTCGCGACAGAGAAAATCCATGGGAGAAGAGGAAGGACACGTGGAGCAACAACCGGTCGGAGAGCCAAAGCTACGACGGGAAACATGATTAGACCCAGTCGCAGTGGGACGACCGGGGCGACTGGGCGAAGTATCAGCAGGACTGGAAGAAAAAACGATTTGGCACGAGGACAGCTGTAGCGGCAACAACCGATGGGAGAAAGGAGATTGCACCGATCCTGAGCCGTTCATGGGATGGTCAGATTACAGATTATGGAGGCGACGAGTCATCAGATGGTTGGGACAGACGGATGTGCAGCCCAAGAAGAGAGCGGACAAGCTACTCAAGACTTCTGATTGCGACATGCAGCGCAAGTTCGAGGACATATCAGATGATATGTTGCAGTCGAACGATGGCCCGATGAGTAGCATACGGAGATTTGACGTGATGAGTGGCCAGCGTGTCGACGACGAGAAGAGGAGAGCAGGACGGGAATGCTTGATGGGATACCGCCGCAAGGCGGGAAAACATCAGTTCATCTACACGGCCCGCTTAGATCATACTTCGAGAGGTTGAAGACGCAGGGGCTGGAGCTGGATGACAGTTGGAAGATCCTCTTTCTAAAAGAGGGCATTGGGTTAGACGAGAACGGCATGCATATGCTCATGGTTTTGAGTCGCGGCTCCAAGCGGTATGATGAGGTGATCTCGGCAGCCAGAGAGATGGGCGCGTCTCGCACAGATCACCTCGGCGCGAGGACGGGAAAAAGGCAACGGCATCAGCTTTCGCCGCCTTCGATGGCGACGACGAGACGCGCGAGCACAGCGACGCGTGATCCATGACGTCCGAGCAGGAGAACTTCCTGCTGGAGTCGATCGCCAAGGCGAACGTGGACGAGCACGAGCTGCCAGAGGCGCTGGCGACCCTGAGCGACGAGCGCAAGAAGACCTGGAATGATAACCGCGACTACAAGAGGCAATTGCGAGTGGACAGGAAGTTCCATCAGACACCAGGGGCCTCGGGATCCAGGCCTTCGGCCCCCGCGCCTCCGCCTCCTGGCAAGAGAGATGGCCATCGCCGCAATGCGAAAGGAGTCGTTCGAGGTCGAAAGAAGAGGTTGCCCGTGGACAAGCTGGTGAAGGTCGCGAAATGCAGCAATGTCCACAAGGAAGGACACTGGGGCCGAGAATGTCCAGAGCGACGGGGTCGGGGTCAGACGACGTCGGCGCCGCCAGGAGGTCGGGAGCCCGCGCCCGGCTCCGTTCTCCTGGGCCCACCCTGACGGCGGCGACCCCGTCGGCGGACCGCTCGATCAACGCGCGCGAGCTGGTTCGCATGATCGCGGGCGGTGTCCGCGCCGCCAGGGAAGAGAGGATGAGTTTTTGGGACGCCGCGCTACCGAGGAACTCCACATACTCATATTATGGCTGGTGTGATGATAGCTGCAGTGAAGCATGTGAGAATGATGTTGGTGGCCATTGCCCCGCCGATCCCATTGGTGACGCCACGCAAGAGGAGAGGTGGAAGAGGAGAAGCGCCGCGCCAGCCACACTTTGCGAGCCCGAAAGAGATAGCGACCGCATCCCCAAGGCACCCCCTGTGGCGTCGAGAAAGTGCCACGCGTGCCACGCTTTGCGAAGCCGAAACGGATAGCGACGGGACCCCCAACGCACCCCGTGTGGCATTGAGAAAGTACCGCGCCTGCCACGCCTTGCGAGCCCGAAGCGGATAGCGACCGTACTCCTAGCGCACCCCCTCTGTGGCGTCGAAGAAGTGTCACGCCTGCCAGGCTTGGCGAGCCCGAAACGGATAGCGACGGCATCCCCAGCGCACTTCTTTTCGGCGTCGAGAAGTTGCCAGACCTGCCACGCTTTGCGAGCCTGGAACGGATAGCGACCGCACCCCAGCGTACCCCCTGTGGCGTCGAGAAAGTGCAACGCCTGCCAACGCCTTGCGAGGCCGAAACGGATAGCGACCGCACCCCGGGCGCACCCATTGTGGCATCGAGAAAGTACAGCGCCTGCCACGCCTTGCGAGCCCGAAACGGATATCGACTGTACCCCTAGCGCACCCCCTTGTGGCGTCGAGGAAGTGTCACGCCTGCCACGCTTTGCGTGGCCGAAACGGGTAGCGACCGCACCCCCTGCGCACCCCCTTGTGCGTCCAGAAAGTACCACACCTGCCACACGTTGCGAGCCCGAAACGGATACCGACCGAACCCCCAACGCACCCCCTGTGGCGTCCAGAAATCCCCACGCCTGCCATGTTGTGCGGCAGTGTCGTGGACCGAGAGACCACCCCCCGCGCACCCCCTTTGTGGTGTCCAGAAAGTTCCACGCCTTCTAGGCTTTGCGACAGTGCCGTGGATAGCGGCCGCGCTGAAAGACCACCCACTGCGCCCCCCCTATTGTGACCAGAAAGTTCCACGCCTGCCAGGTTTGGCGACAGTGTCGTGGATAGCGGCCGCGCTGAGAGACCACCCGGTGCGCACCCCTTATGGTGATCAGAAAGTGCCACGCCTGCTAGGTTTTGCGACAGTGTCGTGGATAGCGGCCGCGCTGAGAGACCACCCCCTGCGCACCCCCTGTGGTGTCCAGAAAGTGCCACGCCTGCTAGGTTTTGCGACAATCCCGTGGATAGCGGCCGCGCTGAGAGACCACCCCCCGCGCACCCCCTATGGTGTCCAGAAAGTGCCACGCCTGCTGGGCTTTGCGACAGTGTCGTGGATAGCGGCCGCGCTGAGAGATTACCCCTTCCGCACCCCCTATGGTGTCCAGAAAGTTCCACGCCTGCTAGGCTTTGCGACAGTGTCGTGGATAGCGGCCGCGCTGAGAGACCACCCGCTGCGCACCCCCGATGGTGTCCAGAAAGGGCCACGCCTGCTATGTGTTGCGACAGTGTCGTGGATAGCGGCCGCGCTGGGAGACCACCCCCTTGCGCGCCCCCTATGGTGCCCAGAAGGTGCCACGCCTGCTAGGCTTTGCGACAGTGTCGTGGATAGCGGCCGCGTTCAGAGACCACCCCCTGCGCACCCCCTGTGGTGTCCAGAAAGTGCCATGCTTACCAGGCTTTGCGACAGTGTCGTGGATAGCGGCCGCGCTGAGAGATTACCCCCTGCGTACTTTCTTTAATGGCCAGAAAGTTCCACGCCTGCTAGGCTTTGCGACAGTGTCGTGGATAGCGGCCGCGCTGAGAGACCACCCCCTGCGCACCCCCTGTGGTGTCCAGAAAGTGCTACGCCTGCTAGGATTTGCGACAGTGTCGTGGATAGCGGCCGCGCTGAGAGACCAACCGCTGCGCACCCCCTATGGTGTCCAGAAAGTGCCACGCCTGCTAGGCTTTGCGGCAGTGCCGTGGATAGCGGCCGCGCTGAGAGACCACCGCCTGCGCACCCCCTATGGTGTCCAGAAAGTGCCACGCCTGCTAAGCTTTGCGACAGTGTCGTGGATAGCGGCCGCGCTCAGAGATCACTTGCTGCGCACCCCCTATGGTGTCCAGAGGTGCTGTGCTGTCCTGTGCTGTGCAGTGCTGAGGTGTGCTGTGCTGAGGTGCTGTGCAGTGCTGTGCAATGCTGTGCTGAGATGATATGTGCTGCGCTGTGTGACAATGTGCTGTGTACTGTGCTGTGCTGAGCTGTGCTGTGCTGTGCTGTGCTCTGCTGCATTGTGGTGCGCTTGCTGTTCTGTGCAGTGCTGTGCTGAGCTGTGCTGTGCTGAGCTAAGCTGTGCTGTGCTGAGGTGCTAAGCTGTGATGTGCTGCGCTGTGCTGCGCTGTGATGTGCTGTGTGAAAGGAGAGGGAGGAGGAAGGTGGTGTGTGAGGGCCGCGGGTGCGACGAGGCAGGGAAGAAAACCAGAACCCCACTAAGCATGTGGGTAAAAAACAGATTCGGGTTACGCCCGAAAGCAACACGAAAACAGAGAAAAACCGTTCACCCAGACCCCCGACGTCAGGATCTGTTCATGACGCGACCCCGAGTGAATTCCGCGGGACCGGTTTTTCATTCCGAGTCGTTTTTTGACGCTCCCGAGACCCATTCGGGGCAGAGGCCGAAGACAACCAGCGAAACACCTCCCGTCGTGATTGCTTCGTGACTCGAGGGGGTCTGGAGAGGTCGGGCCCTGGGAGGTCAGTCTTGGGGGCACGAGACCGGCTCGACGCTGGCCGGCCTTCGCAGCACTGCCAGAGGGCAGCCCTGCCCCCGCCCCCCCCCCCCGGGCGGCTCCAAGAGGGCCCGGGCGGCGGCGGCACCCTTCGCCGAGCCCCCGGAAGGGCTCCCAGGGGCGCCCAAACTCTCAGGGGTGGAAGGAGGCCCAAACCCCCTCGAGGCATGACAAGAATCATGACGGGAGGTGCTTTGCTCTTTCCGGCTTCTGGGGGCCCTCACTGGCCCTCGGGACCGTCAAAAAAAAGCGACTCGAGGGAAGCCCGTCCCGGCGATGGGGTCCGGACCTCTGTGGGCCACGCCATGACAAATTCATGACGTCGGGGGTCTGACCCTTGAGATCCTGGCGTTGCAACGTGTTTTGCCACGGGCGTTCTCGCTCCTTGTCGGGCCCCGGGACCTTCACAGACCGATGCGGCTCGAGACATCACGCGGAAGGATGCGGTGTGAGGCTCCGGACCAGGATATTCTGGCATGCTGCAATTTGTTGCAGCGTCGGATCTCTTGGATTCAGCGGGGGGGGCATGGCGGGGGCCTTGGTATCTTGGCGCCTCTTCACTTCAATGCGTCCTCGGCCGTCCCCCCCCCCCCCCCCTGTGACGCGCACGCGCCGCCAGCCATGATCTGCGCCCCCCCTCTTGGACGCCCCCCTCTTGGACGCCCCCCTCTTGCACGCCCCCGAGAGAGGGCCGGCCCAGACAAGCCGATGAAGGACTTCTGCACCGGTCACTCGACATTGGCACTCGCAGTGTGAAACGGTGCAGGGTTTCGTTCGTCGACGTGGGCTTGCCAGGCGCGCGGGGTAGCTTTGGTGCGTCGGCTCGCTGTCCCGCCCAGGTCGGATCGGAATGCGGTGCCGTGCGCACGCGGAGTGTTCCTGGCAGCGTTGACCGACAGGCGTTTTGCTCGAGGATGTCCTGTCGAATCTAGACAACGCCACGAAAAATTGCGGACAGACTGGGCAGCGATTATTTGCGGTGGACGCGGCAGTTTGCGATGGATTGTCGGTTCTCCGGCGGCGTGGCTTTTCCGCCTCTGCCCGCCCTTCTGTCGCTATCGGCGCCCATGCCATCGTCATCGTCACTCGTGGGCGGGAAACGTAATATCCATGTCCACAGCCTCGAGTTCTGCATTCCTCGGCCACGACCCTGGTGACGCAAGGGCTGTTTGCGCGGACGGTCTGGGCTGAACACGGCCTTGAGGTCGGGACTCCCCGTCGGCGAGGTTGTTGGCACACGGCTGTGTTGCGCGGACTTTGCGCGCTGGACATCTCCATGGCATCATGTATCCATGGGATTGCGCCTCGACATCCAAATAACAAGTGCCTGGATTCGTCGCTCGTGGGTCACGGGTGCTCGCTTTGCCCGCATCGACAATCATTTGGCATTGCGGCAGCAGCGAAGCTGTCGTGCACCACCACCCCCAGCGCGGTGCTCTGCATGACTGCCCGCCCAGGCTGGAACCAGAGCAAGAGCAGGTGGCAGTACGAGCAGACGTAGGGCCCGGGCAGCCTTCCAGCGCTCAGCGATGGCAGCAGCAGGAGGAGCATGATCGGCAAACAGATGGGGCGTTCAAAAAATGGCCTTGCCTTCGAGGATCGAAGGAGTTGTCGTCTCTTCTTCGGCGGAAGGCGGCGGAAGCTCGGCGGAAGTAGAACGAGGCCGCCTCTGCCAGCCGAAGCCGGCGGAAGCTCGGCGGAAGGCGGCGGAAGTAGAATATGTGCCCCAAAGAGATGAAAAAAAGGGTGCTTGGGCTCGGGGCTTCCGAGATCGCCCATCTGCACATCCAGGACCGCGCGGTCTGGGCACCGAGGCGCGATCTCATGGGCACGTTCTGCATGGGGCAGCTGTAGAAAAGGCCGCCACGTATCCACAATCGGGGTCGCGGCCGAGGAGTCCAGCCCGCATGGTTGTGGATATGGGTAACGTGTTTCCCGCTTGTGGGCGGAGGAGGAGGAGGAGGAGGAGGAGGAGGAGGAGGAGGAGGAGGAGGAGGAGGAGGAGGAGGAGGAGGAGGAGGAGGAGGAGGAGGAGAGGAGGAGGGGAGGAGGAGGAGGAGGAGGACGGGGAGGAAGGAGGAGGGAGGAGGAGGAGGAGGAGGAGGAGGAGGAGGAGGGAGG